TGATTTTTGGATTCTTGAAGAAGTAAAACGGATTCAAAAGATAAGCTGTTGTGTGAAGTGGGCTATCAATTCGATCCTTGCCCGTTACATCAATAATGTTCAAGATTGGCATATAGTCACTTTCCCTCTTCAACGTCTTTATAATGTCATCCTTTGCCTTTAGTAGCTTTCTATAAACAAATCCCATTGAAGGTTTCTCCTCTCCATCAACTAGTCTAAGAACTTTCACTAATGGAGTAAATACTCTCAAACACAAGTCTATCAAGATCCAAAAATCATTGGGAACAACAATATCAAAGGCCTCTTTTCCCTTTTTGCTCTTAGACCATTTCGTATTATCCCCGTTCATTACTAGTCATCATATTTCTCAACTCTTGTGTTTTTATCGAGCAAACTTTGTAATGTTAAGAAAGATGTAGCAAATCTAGTGACTCCCGGCCGAACTATCTCCCTTTTTGTGAACTTCCTCCTTAGTGCGAAAGTCTTATGATGTGCATAGATGAAAATAGTAAATGATTTTGCCTTCCTAATCACTCCTTTGAAGATAGGAAGTTTAGAGATACCCTCGAGCATAAGGTTCAAGGTATGAGTAGCACAAGATGTCCAAAAGATGTTAGGCCTTTCCATTGATAACAAATTCGCGGCGGACACGTTATTGGAAGCATTGTCGGTTACAATTTGAACCACATTTTCCTCTCCAACCTCTTTAATACATTCATTGACATATTCAAAGATGTATTCATCGGTGTGAGCATCATCATTAGTTTCCTTTGAAGAAAGAAATGTGGTTCCCAATTTATAATTCACACACAAATTCATGATACTTCTTCTTTTGCTATCACTCCAAGCATCGGTCATAATAGAACACCCATTATTTTTCCATTCTTCTTTTTGCTTCTTAAGAGTTTCTTTTGTTCTCTCCACCTCTCCCTTCAAAAGTGGCTCCCTTAATTGGTATTGTGAAGGAGGGGTGTAACCCAGACCATATTGACCAAGAGCTTCAACAAATTTTTTAAAACTATCGTTATCAATGGCATTAAAAGGAATTCTGGCTTCGTATACCCATCTAGCCAAATATTGATGAACTTCTAGTAACCTTTTCTTAGCAATTGCATCATTGATATTTTGTTGTTTCATTTTCTTACTTGCAGACATTGAAGCATCATCAACCTTAATTGGCCTTCAAAAGTTATCCATGGGACCCACATGTAGAGGCCTTTTCCCTCCCCCTTCAATGATAGAAATTTCTTCCTCTTCTTCCTCATGTGTAGACATAGATATAACTACATCTTCCCTCAACTTAGCTTTATTCAATGCATTCTCTAACTTCTTAGACTTAATCTCTTCAAGTGCTTCACGAAACTTGGCTTTTTGCTCTTGACTTGCTTTAGGACACGATTTCACACCCATTCCCTTGATGCCTGCTATGTGCACTTTATGCCTATTAATCCCGGCCTTTGTAACTTTGTCACACAATGTGCATCTCACATTATTAGGTTTACTAACATCTTCAACAATTGCAGTTTCCCATCCAACATCTCCTGAACTCTTTTTCAGCTCATTATCTTCTGAAATGGAATTAGATGCCTTGGAAGAATCATTTTGCTCCATTGGCTTCTAGTAAATTGAAAAAAAAATGATAAAAGCAAGAATCATCTTGTGAGCAATTATTTAATTTCATTTGAAGAATCATCTTGTGCCATTAGCAGCGGACTTAACAGTGAACTGGTTAGAGTTCATGTTGTAATCTCACTAACATAATGACCAATTATTTAATTTCATTGACCGATTATTTAATTAATATATTATCATCACAGCTTTAGTAGATATCTTAAATTATATGATTCATCCATATTATATTATATAACTTGCTTATCTCTATTATACAGTTACACAGACTAACAGGCATTATTAGAAATTGGTTAATTTATTTCTATAAACACCATAACCGTTAATCACCATAAAATTAAGAATAATATCAATAATAAAATTGAAATAGTAGACTTACATAAAAGCCAAAAACAAATAGGTTTCCTTTAGTGCCTTTTAAACTTTTCCTTGGTGGGCGGCAGCAGTAGGAAGATGGGCATCAAGATTCAGGGTATGTCTAATGTCCAGATGAAGATTTATGCTATAGTCAAAACCCTGGAGATTGTTGTATATAATTGATGGACTTATATGATTTGGGCCAATTTGATGTGTGCTGGGCTCAATTTTATTTTTTTAAGTTTATAGAAATGGGTTGCACTTTGTTATGTTAATTGGAACATATTTTTAATTACAAATGCTTGCGCATTTTTGGAGAGTATGTGCGCATATGCGGTCAACGAAATGAGTTGACCACATTATCATATGCATACCCCATATGCGATGCGTTTCGAAAACGCATTGAGAATATGCGTGCATAGGTGCGCATTTTAGAACACAGATTATAGTGTACCTATGAGCTCATAATAACATGGTCTTTTTCCTGCGCGCAAACCAATATCAATGCATCCATCGTTGCCCACCGAGATTCAGGATGCCACATTACTATATCATACATATAAATTTAAGGCGTGGCCTACATATATACAGTGCTCAAGGTGCCTATCCGTAGTCCCAAGGCCACCAAAGGACATTCTGGCATTGCCTGTATATAGGTGTCGAACTCCCAATACCCTATCCTTGGCTACCCTTAATGATCGTTAGGAGCCTCAAAGCGGTACAATTATTTGAATACAATAATAGGGTACATTTATAATGGGATTCACATTCAAAATTTTCAACTGCAACTGAATCAACATGACAACACAAGTATGCATGATCTTGAAAACGTAATTATTCCTACATTTTTCAAATAAACTCAATGCACATGTAACATACTACCATGTCACTTAGCAAAAGAAACAACCACATATAAACACATATTTACCCATATTAATGTATTTTGCACTGTAGTTGGAAAAATATCAATATTTACCTTTTTCGCGATTTCCTTGATCAATATCTGCATTAACACAATAATCTCTACATTAATCATATCTTATCTTATTATTTTTCAAGTATCACATCTAGACTAAACTTATAAGATAATATAGATTATTTAATAGCATACCCCTAATAAAAATAATGATATTAGCTTATTGTCTACTAGTAGTAATAATAATAATATTAATAATATAAATGAAATTAAAGTTATCGTCATTAACTAAATTCCATAAAATTATTACATGTACAATTTAAGTTAGTCAATACACTACCATATTACTTTCTCATTTCATGCTTGGTCCACTTTTCATTTCAATTAACACAAGTATATATATACATTCATACCCATTAGTAAATTTCTTATTCAATCTATATTCTTTTTTACCGCATTTCCATCATATCTTAGCATTAATACTATGCATTCTAACAATTTTTTTTTCTTCACACCTTATAACATAATTAGATCAAAGTAATTTAAGTTTAAGCCTCAAGTACTAATTGTTATCTTTCTTCCCATTTGAATTTACCACTCATATAAATATAGTAGTGGCCCAATTTCCATACACATTATCATGATAATATTAATAATTATTATACCAAGTTATTTTCTATCCCTACTCACTTCTTCCTTACTCACTATATTTTCCCCCAAGATTATTTTATACAATCCTTAATAATGTGATCTAACTAAACTAAAACTCAATATATCTTCAACTAGTTTGTAAGTTTTAAAATTTTCAAAGTTAAGATTTTGAAATGAAAAAATTATAATTTATCTTCCTTGATTTTATTAATTAAACTTGACTATAATATTATCTTTTATCAATTACTAAAGAACCCTAGAGCAACAAATTTTAATTCCTATTTATAAACCAAATAAGTACTTAAAATAATTATCTAAATAAATAATTAACTAAAGAAAAGACATACCTTAAGAAGTGAAAATGATGGGAAAATGGTATGTCACATTTCACAATTATCCTCTATTTATAGTTGATAGTAGGATTAAGTGTGCAATTTATGAAATTTCACATCTAACCCCTATGATAATGTGCAAGCATTTGATTGGATTTTAAAATTACATCTTTAGACCTTGAACCACATGTGCAATTATTTTCTTGTTTATAAAATTGCACATTTGCACCTTGAACCTTTGGGCAATTATGCAATTATAAAATTGCATTTTCAATCCCCATAATATTATTTTTAATTACAATCCCTAATAACATTTACTTTATCATTAAATTAAGTCCCTAAAATTAAAAATAAACTCCCCAAAATATTAAAAATCTTTACTAGAAAATTTTGGCATGTTACAATCGGATTTCTGATGCTCTTGTCCGTTTCAACCATCAAGTACAAAACATGAGAGGCCAAAGGTATGATGTTGCTAATAATATTTGTGGTTCTTGGAATCGACTACACACATTATTTCTTAGAGATTTTCCATATGCATATTATGTCCGCTGTTTTGCCCACCGTTTACAACTCACAATGGTTTCTGCAGTTAGGGATGTCTTAGATATTAATTCATTTTTTTCTCATTTGGACATTGTTATTAATATGATTACATCATCTCTTAAGCGTCAATGAGTTAAAAAGTGCCAAAAGAAAAGAAATTGAGCATTTGTTGGAAATTGAAAAACGAGAGTCAGGAAGTGGTGCTGATCAGACTGGTAATTTACAACAAGCCCGATGTACTCATTGGTCTTCTCATTAGAGCTCTCTAAAGAGTTTGATTAAGATGCATGCTGTAACTTGCAAGGTGCTTGAGTGTTTTAGTGATCCTTCTCCAAATATAAGATCTCGGTCCAAAGTGGTGGTGTATACAAAACCTTGATAACATTTGAATTTGTATTTATCTTACATTTAATGCGTAGAATTAGCAATTGCGGATGTAATTTGTCAGGCCCTTTAGAAGAAAACTCAAGACATTTTAACTGCTATGAGATTTATTCATACTAAAAAAACTATCCTTCAAGCATTGAGAGAAGATGGTTAGGAAGAATTTCTCGACGAGATGAAATATTTTTTCTTAAAAAATGATATACATGTACCTGACTTTGATGGTTTATACATGGTTAGTCGTTCACGTGGTCGTGAGTATCCCTACCGTTGAACACCATTACCACTTTGATAATTTCAATACAATCATAGACTTTCAGATGATTGAGTTAGATACAAGATTTAATAAGACATCATTAGAACTCATTTCTCTCAATATAGTTTTGGATCCAAAAAATTCTTTTAAGTCATTTAACATGAATAATATTTGCAAGCTTATAGAAAAGTTTTATCATGAAGATTTTACGCAGCAAGATATTTATTGTTTGAAAATTGAGTTGCAACATTATCAGAATTGATTTGTTTAGATTGATATATATTTTCAACGACGACTATGAACGAGTATTTTCAGTAATGAAACATGTAAAGACAAATTTTTTTAACAAAATAGATTATGGTTTTCTTGTTGATTGTTAAACACTAAACATTCAACGAGAACTTAGTATGAATTTAGATCTAGATTCTATTATAGATGAATTTTATGCTGTAAAATATTGACGAATACAACTACAATAGGTAACTTATATTATGATTCTTTCTTATTATATATAAATTTTATTCGTACATTAAATTTTAAAATTTTCTTGCTCCCATAGCATTAATTTCTGGCTTTGCTCTACAGTCACTACCATGACACCACCATCCCCACCACAAGCAGCATCACTACCATTAGCATAACAACTACACCCCAAGCAAGATCACTTCCATCACATCACATCAGCACCATCAGCACCTCATCACCAGTACGATTGCAGTATGAAAACCACTGCAAAACAAATCTAATTAGAGTTGTACATGATGCCGCTATTGTTGGAATTATTTTATGAAATAATTAATTTGTGATATCATGGTATATGTCATAATTGGAGAAACGTGCATGCCTATATTTATATTGCACATCATGAAATTACATGATATCTATTAATTCGTAAAGTGTTATGAATGCAGGTTAGTAGAATTAGTGAGATTCTTACTTAGACCTATTCATTGTGATAGTTTGGTGATTGGAAGATTTAGATAAAATTTCAACTAAATTATTTGATTCATCAATTGAGTAGGAGTTCTCAAGTTGGAAGAAGTAATGTAATTCTCACTTACAACCC